AAACTGTGCTCAAGATTGAAAGGTGCATGTGACCTTTCATTAAAACTAAGAGCAACTAACATTTTCACTCTCATCCAAACGTCAGGAGGTTACATGTTAAAAAATGTTTGTGTATTCAAAGGTGAAAATGTGCGAAACAACAGGAGGGAGAATCTATATTTTACACTTTAAACAATGTTCTTTGGAACAGAATCTATTGATTATTAGATATATAAATGCTTTGGCAAAAACAAGGATTAAGGAGGCTAAAATTTTGGGGCAGGGTGCATTTTATGCAGACCTTTGTATATGTTAGATGATAATGACAATCTCTCAAACTAAATCTAGTCATATCTAATTCTATTGAGTACTGCAGTTCATCTGACATACATTAAGTATAGAATTAATTTTGGTTTCAAACAACATTAGATATGACTAGATTTAGTTTGACAGATTGTATGTCAGATGAACTGTAGTACTCAATAGAATTAAGACAAATGATTAATTTCCTTTTTCCAAACCTCACAAAGCTATTTGTCCCGATGTTTATGTCGTCTTGCTGATTATGAGACTAACAGTAATTTATTTATACGTTTCTTGATTTTTGTGTAGACTACTGTATATTTTGTGATTGTTGGATTTGTCCATAGAGCTACGAGCATTTAAGGGTCATTTTAGAGGTCTTGATATGTCCTTCTAAGATGAGGAATTTAATTTGGACTGCGTTTAAATGTGGTATTTGGTCCATTAGCATGACTTAAAGTTGAGGAAATCGCGTGTCTAGAACAACCATACAAGGGTTGTATTTATAATAATAAAATACGTGGGTCTAGACCCTATTTACATTGGAACTAACTTAATAAATATATATATACATTCTAACACTACCCTTCAAGCTGATACGTATATATCGTAGACACTAAGCTTGTTACAAATATAGTCAACCTGAGGACCTTTAATAGCCTTAGTGAAAATATTTGCAAGCTGATCATTAGCGTTGATGAATGTTGTCTCGATTTCTTTGGACTGAATCTTCTCTCAGATAAAATGGTAATCAATTTCAAAATGCTTGGTTCTTTCATAAAAGACTGGGTTGGAGGATATGTGCAACATTGCTTGATTGTCCTAAATCAATTTCATTTGTCGTTGTTCGCAGAGACTTAATTGTCTGATCAATATCTTACAAGTTGCAGTTCCCATTGCTTGATACTCAGCTTCTGCACTTGATCTGGCTACCACAGTTCGCTTCTTTTTATTCAAAGTAGTTAGAAAACATAACTAATTGCTAAAGAAGATTCAGGGAATCACAAGGAGTCTACCACAATTCTATTTCTTTATGTATTGGAGGATCTTGACAATTGTGTCCATATGGGAATCACAAGAAGAATCAAGGAATTGACTAGCCTCACTAGTTGCTAAAGAAATATCCGACATCGTTACAGTAAGATAATTCAACTTGTTGACCAGTCTTCGATAACAGGGATCTGTTAGAGGCTCCCTCTGTCCATGTAGTAGCTTGACATTTGGATCCATGGGTGTATCGGTAGGCTTGCATCGTAACATGCAAGTTTCTTCCAAGATATCTAAGACACACTTCCTCTGAAAGATGAAGATGTTGTGCCTAGATTGTGCCACCTTAATGCCTAAGAAATATTGAAGCATGCCAAGATCCGTGGTTTGAAATTGATTGAACAAGTACTGATTTAGTTGTTCAATCCCAACTTGATCGCTGTCAGTGATGATAATGTCATCTACATAGACCAGGAGATAGATGCATTGATCAGGGGAATTATGCTAATAGAAAAGATAGTGATTAGTTTTGCTATGAGCTAAGCCAAAAGCCTGAACAACTGAATTAAAATGGCTAAACCAAGTTCGAGGTGACTAATTCAGGCCATATAAGGATATGTAGACTTTGCACACCAATCCAGACTCCTATTGAGCAACAACTCCAGGTGGTTGCTCCATGTAAACTTCTTTGTGTAAATCACCATGTAAGAAAACATTTTAAATATCAAGCCAAAAAAGGGGCCAGTGACGAACAACAGCAAGGGCAAGAAATAGGCGGACGGAGGCCATCTTGGCTACATGAGAGAAGGTATCTCTATAATCAATTTCAAAAATTTGGGAGTGTATCCCTTGGCTACTAAGCGGGCTTTGAGACGATTACTAACGCTATTTGGACCGACTTTAACAATAAACATTCAACGACATCCAACAAAAGATTTCCTCGGAGGAGCAAAAACAAGTCCCATGTGCCATTTGAATGTAGAGCATGGTTGTTAAAACGTCGTTCAACTCGGTTGGAATAGACGTTTTTACGTTTTCTTGGCCAAAATTGTTTCAGAACGATGATAGAAACGGATTTTGGATAGACTCGGTTGAAACGTCGAGTTAACTCGGTAAACTCGGTTGACTCGACGTTTTTACCGAGTTAACTCAGAACAGAAAAAAAAAGAGAGAAAGAGATCGACTCTGACGTCGACACAAACAGCCTCATCTTCTTCGCTCTCCGAAGCTGAAGCAGAGGATGTCGACGGAGGGCCCTGAATCTGATTGCTTCGCATCCTCCTTCTAATGTGATGATGCTTCCATCTTTTGCAATCTGTCTTCGTGCTTCGTTCGCTGGTAATCAGGGTAAGTTGAGCGAAGATGGTTGACGAGTTCATCAACAGTAGAATACTTGAACTTGCAAGACTCCAATCGATGACAAAGAGTTTCTTGCAATGACCTTCCCGCTTCTTCTTCCCATCTTCCCACCCCTTCTTCCCTCTCTGATTTCTCACCTCTGTTATTCAACTCATAAACCCTAACAAAACTGTTGTGTTTCATATTCTTATCGACTTGGGCTCATTAGTTATTGGATTGGGTTGGCCTAGTTTGCTACTTATGTTTTTTTTCCCATTAATATATTACAGTGTATTAATTGAAAATATTTAGAATATATTCACACACTATAATGGCTATAAAATTATAGGAAAAAAATTCAAAAACTCTTATCATTTATCTTTTATATTTTTTTATTACTTATCTTATATGTGAATTTTTTTTATCCAAATTCATTTTAATAATGTTAAATATTGGGTTATTTCATCTAATTAATGTTTGGATTTTAATTTGTATCATGATGACTGAGTTTAAACTTAATTTTTATTTACTTTAATGTTTGAACTTAAATTTATAATAACTTATGTATTGGTGTAATATATGTTGGATATATTTATTTATATATATATATATATATATATATAGGGATAGGATCAACTTACACCGGTGTAAGAATAATAAATCTTACACCAAATCTTAACCGTTGATTTCCGTGCATCCATTTGTTGGGAATTAAAAATTAATTAATGAGTTAGACCTAATAAATCTTAACCGTTAGATGTAGAAAATCAATGGTTAAGATTTGGTGTAAGATTTATTATTCTTACACCGGTGTAAGATGATCTTGTCCCATATATATATATATATATATTATGTATTGGTGTAATATATGTTGGATATATTTATATATATATATATTCAGTACGTAGTAAACTCTTACGTTTCGTTTACGTTTTTCGATTTTACGTTTTTGCTCACCCCCATCATTTCTGCGTAGACTCTACGTTTTAACAACATTGATGTAGAGCAGTTATTTCATCGGTCATTGTTTTTCACCAACCCAAATGTGAAAGTGCTTCACCTGTGGTTTTAGGAATGAATATAGAAGAAATACTCGAAACAAAGGTAAAATGTTATGAAGAAAGTTGATCGTAACTCAAAAAGGCATAAAGAGGATAAGGATTAAGAGTGGAGCTAGTACCTTTATGGATGACAATGGGAAGACTGTCTGACACAAGGAGGTAGTGAGTCAGGAACAATATCTTGTAAAATGGGATTGGCATCGGTGAGTAGTTGAGGGCGTCACTGTCAAGTGATCGGAGTACAAGATGGTGGAGGGACAACCGTAGGACCAAAGACACCTGTGGACAGAGGATCAAAGAAAGCAATTGGAAGGATAATGTCAACCTTAGAGATCTATGACAAAATGATAGCGAGGTATGCTACGACAATAGCCACTACCGTGGGAAACAAGGTTGTGGTCTTCCATCATAGTGGGTCACGGATTTGGGAAGATAGAGTCAAAACGGACCTACAAAACACAAAAAGGAGAGAGAGAGAGAGAGGAGGAGGAGGGGAAATCACGTAAATTGAGGACCCACGGCTGGAGAGGGAACATCTGAGTAGTACAGGTCTAGGCGACCTGTTCTGTGGTTGATTGGAGAAGGGAGGCGCATCCACACGCTGCTATGGGCACGTGGAAGAAAAGCTGGCCGCTGGCTGTTTCTAGTGCATGCAGGCATTTGTGGCGGAGTTTGGTCGCATGACTTGGGCAATGGTGTAGATCATGCGGAGGCGAATGTGAACAGTTGTGTTTTGATAGTGGCCAGGGGCAGCAATGTTGGTTAGAGGCACGACGGTCCTTTGAACAAGGTGGCCGGAAAGATGTGTGGCCAAAAAGGGGGCTGCAGGAAGGATGTATGGCAAGGAAGATAAGTTGTTGTTGCTGGTATGAAGCCTGGCGATGAGGGTGAGCTGCCGTAGTGGGTACAAGGGAATCAGGTTTTGCGGAAATAGGGTTGCCCAGAACATAGAGCTTTGGTACCAATTTAAGGTTGGGGAAATTATATGTCTGGACGACCATACAAGGATTATATTTGTAATAATAAAATACATGGGTTTGGGCCCTATTTACATTATGTGGGACTAGCACAGCTTAATATATATACACATTCTAACAGCATGCAAAAAATTGCGGATCCTGTTCATGGCCGACTTGATTTATAGATCGATTCTTTGAATTTAAAATTTTGAAATAATATTCCAAATAGAAATTTCTGAAGTAAATTAAAATGCTTGTTTCGGGTAATCAGATATGGGATTTACAATACACATTCACACTTGACAATAGTAAGATTTCAAATATTGTAGTCACTTTCTCTGTGTTTTTGTTCGACTTTAAATGGTTTTTACAGATCAGATATTGCTTGGAAGGATGCCAAATATGCTCAGATATGGGAGTATCTCAGGGATGAATTTGAATTAACTCAGAGATTTGCAAGTCTTGATTTCAAGTTGAAATTTGTGGAGGTGTAACTTCTTACTTGGAAACATATATATTCCGCATTTTGTCTTCCCATTCACTTTTTAATTTATAGGTTTTGCATTTTAACTTCTCCCCTGTTAAATTTTGCAGCACAATATCCGCTTTCTACAAGAAATTCTTCAAAATAGGAAATCCGATTTTCTAGAGTGGCTCATTATTGCATTGATTGGTGCTGAAATCCTTCTGTCTCTCTATGATATTGTTCAACGGTCTGCCATGAAACTTTAGCAGTGGCGCGTAGCATGCTTTTTGAAGGGGTGCTGGATGATAACAGTTGGCGCTACTCATTTTAAGATATTGGTGGCTCATGCTATTACGTTCTATCTATTGTAAATAACAATTTGAAACCGTTTAACTCAATTATTTACTAATCAGTTTGTATAACTTAAAATTTAATGTGTAGAATATCACCGAAAACTATACCTGCATGTTTTTCTGTAATATAATTTTTGTCTATTACATTAATTAATTATTCTGTTCAATTTCGAGAACACAGGAAGTTACTAAATTTGATGACCGAATAATCATCAAAATGATATGCTTAATAACTGTATTAGTCGCTAGCAGAGGGTGATTGGGCCAGGCCCAATATAGTGGATATTCCAATTTGGTTATGATATTTTGAGGTAACTTGGTATTTTATAAAATTGGAGGCGAGGATATAATCATAAACTGAGGTAGAAAAGTAGAATACATTTTGAAAAAGGATAGATGAGTTGTTCTTTTCCTTTGTAAATCGTGTATTCATTCATTATTAAGTTTTCTCAAAACTTGGTCAAATCATGGTGTCTGTGGAAATTCAGTGCTTGCTGTATCTGTATATAATAATTGATCCAAGCAACGACATCAACTTATGTCCTCCAAAAGGATTTGACATCCAGTTAGTGTAAAAATGTGCGATTTGGATCCAAAGGAGAGCGTGCAAAATGGCTGTGATATGAATGGTGTTCCGATTCAGTGTGTTCTGCGATGAGTGAGTGGGGTGGTTAAAGTTTTTCAATTCGTTTCTTGTAAACTTAAACCTAATTACACTGCCCACTCGATACAATTAAACCTCTATATGTGTAAACCTATACCTTCAATTCCATTTTTTATTTCCAACCTCTTCCTTTCGTGCTCTCTCTTTACCGTTGTTGCCGCCTTGTGGTAAGGTTCTCTTTTCCATCAAAATTAATGGATCAATGTTCACGGAGATAATAATAAATTAGATTAGAAGGAAATCAGTAATCTTGTGAGGTTTATAGGAAAAAGAGTTTCCCTAAACTCTGACCCACAATCTCAATGGCAAGAATATCTTGGATACTAGAGTACGTATTACTTTACTAAAAATATAAAATATTAGACGTAGGAGAGAATAATTATAAAAGATGGGTAAAACGGAAAAGTTAATTATATTACTTTTTTTTTCTTTTAATTTGATAAAGGATTCATTTAGTTTTTATTACTGCAGGAGTACTGAGAATACTTTTCTCAATGGCATGTGCACTGACTTTTTCTTTTGGATATTAATTAGTGCATGTGACTTAAAACATATGGTTATTGATATGAAAATGCTAGAAAAAAAGAATACTTTGTTTATAATTCATATCCCAATTGCATTGAGCTGGAATGTTATGGACTTAAATGCTAATGGGCCTTAATTTTGTTTTTAGGCCCACATCTTAATACTTTCCAAAGCAAAGAAGGAAGAAAGAAAAGTAAAAAAAAAGAAGAAGAAAAGAAGTGGGCTGAATTTTGTAAAGCAAGGCAAAAGAGCCCAGTTGAAGAAAGAAAAAGAAAAGAAAGAATTGGAAGAAAGGAAGTCAAAGGAGCGTGAGACACAATTGGAAAAGCATTATGTAACCAGTGAACCCTAACCTTCATCTTGCGAATCAACCCATTTCCGTCCAACCATAACCCCAAGCTTTCCGTTCTTGATTTCTTTTTACAGCCAAACCACCAAGCCACACTAGGTCCTTAATCTTGGTTTACCCATTGAGCCTTAGTCCTCACCTATGGTCCCCTAAGTGAGCATTCAACCAAAACACTGACCCTAGCCACTTTGATTCAAACAGAAAATGCCAAACACTACCCATAACTGATTGGGTGAGCTGGAATTTGTTAGGAGTGTTGGCTAAAGTAATTTTTGGAGTACGGTTGCTGCCTTTGCAAGGAAAACGCATAATTGGGAGGAGCGCGTACGTAGTACACGTGCTGGCTGAGGTGTGAATCGTCTCTGTATGTGGGAACATCAGTTATAAAAGAGAGGAGAAAAGCATTGTAGGCAACTTTTTCACTCCATCTTTTCAATTTTTCGTTGTAGTCTGTTCTGATCTTTACATTTTTACATTTTTCTTTTTTGTTAGTTTTTTCTGAGCAATGTAGTAGAGCTATTTTGTGGATATAGCTTCTGCCTCATAATTTCCATTAGAGTTGTAATTTCTTTTTAAGTTTCGTTTGCTGTTTTTGTAACTCAACCCTTATGGGCATGAGCTAAACCTTTTAAGGTTGGGTTTAGGTTACCCGAACCTCAGTGATGGTTGATTGCTAATTACTATTGTTAATATTTAATTCTCAGTTGTTTAATGCCATGCTTTATATTTAAACATTCTTTAATTGAGGCCTGATGTTAGATGTTGTGTTAGGAAGAGGTCATCGAGAGGTGGCTACTTCTGGAAAATGCATTAAGCACATGGGCTTGAATAAGAAATTATTCAAGGGCTGTCACTTAGAGATAAGGACAACAACCATGTAACTTTGGACTTGAAATGCATGAGTCCTCACTACATTTAGCACAGAGATGTGTAAATGATTGTTTGGGATAAAATGATTTTAAGAGATTAAAATCAACGAGAGTGATCCGTTAACTGGGAATTAAATTTAGTAATATGTAATTGGCAGTCAATCCATTGCTGTGGGAAAGGTAAACCAAAGACCAACCTATTTTTCTAAACATTTTCACCAACGCAATTGTCTGTTCCTCTGATTTTTAAATTTTTAATCATCATTCTGTTTTACAATTTTTTATATAATTTTTTTTTACATCAGATACTTAAATTGCTTTTCTACTATTTTCCATCCTTTAGCTAAAGAAATTAATTCAGAAAATTCTAAAAAAAATAGAGTAACATGGTCAGTGCTATTTTAGATTAGTTTTGCTTTTATGTTTCTTTTCATAAATTCAGTTTAAGCATTTGCACTTTGTGTTTTTGAAATTTTTGCCAAAAGATCTTTGTGGGAACGATAACTGTGACTCAAACAAGCCCTATATTACTTGTTGTCGCGTATACTTGCGCACATAGCTTGCATAACTGTTAGCAAGGCAACAAATATCAATAATTTTGCCAATTTTCTTTTTCATTTAAAATAAGTTAAAAGCAAAGGATTTAATTCAAATTTGTCCAAGAGTGGACCTAGGGGTAGAGGGGCTAAGGTTGTCATCCGCCCTTCCCTAATTATTTTTTTTTTTAAAATTATATATACAAAATATCATTTTGATAGTATTAGTGGATTGTTTGTCTTAAAAATTAATCCCCTCAAATTAAAAAATAAAAATCCCTAAAATAAAATCTTTGCCGAGGGATTTAAATAGGTTACAAGTCTATTTTACTAGGCATGACCTCTAAGCCCAGTTCATAATTTTTAACAAATTATATTTATTTTATTTTTAATAAAATAATATCTAGTTATTCTGTAATAAAGTAATAGCTTTTGATTTTATTTTCATTTTTTAAAATTTTATAATCTTCCATTTTTTCATTTGTCAAGTCTATTTCGCTACTCTTTTGTCTCCTTCTTAACTTCTTATCCAATCCAAATCATTAATCGCTCACCATCGATTCTTAAGACTTTCACAACTAACAGTAAGTCTTTATTCTTTATATTTTTTCCTCTTTTTTTCCTCGTTGAAAAAATTGTCTATTTTCAAAATTTCCATAAAAAAATATTATTTGACTTATGGGTGTTGTATGCATCTACATATCTTATTTTTATTTGTTAGACATGTGTTTATATGTGTGACTTATTTTTCTATTTGTTTCTCTTTATTTATTTAATTATTTTTTGTTGGAAAGCATAGGACAAATTTTTGATGATTCTTTGATACATTCATTGAAAAAGAATTTGTTTTGAGTTTTAGCACATATTAAATTATAGAAGAGTTTAATGATATGAAAACACGTAAAGTAAGAGTTAAGTGAAGTAATCTTAATTTCTGTAATAATTTTTTTTTTCAAATTTCTTTATATTAGGTCTGTATTGTATTTTAAGTACTTTGATTTATAATAATATTTTTTACTTTTGTCGCTTATCATAAAAAGCTGGGTTCGCCACTGCATATATGTCTCTTGCTTTCAACTGAGACATAGTACATTTCCCAAATAAATATATTCATTGCAACTAGTATCATTTTCAATAAATTAAGAATGCATATATCATAATACGCATTAAAATTTTACGAAACGACAATGAAAGGAAAAATAATGTTATGACCCGAATTCGGGTCCTTGATCAGCGCATAGGTTACACTACTAAAAAGTAACTTATTTGTGATTGGCAATATCTGTCGCAAATAGGGTTTGCGATGAAATTTTGCGATGGATAAACAGGTCCGTCGCTACTTGCGATGGAATCAGAATGTCACAAATGGCTGTCATTGAAATGGCGAATTGATATTGTATTCCACCGATTGTCAAATTTGCGACGACACTCTAAACAAACCCATCGCAAATTAAGGCCCCTCTCAATTATTTTTCTGACAATGAGCTTGAATTTGATGACTATGAGACTGAAGAGGAAGGTATGGAAGAATAAGTCGAAGAACAGGGTACCCACTGCATATATTACGAGATTGATCAAAGCATTTGAACTAATCTGTACCCTTTTCTTCTGCTAATATGAGAGCCCATTGTTTTCTCAATAAATTTATCCAACTGATTTAGATGATGATGGTAGTTGTAAGAACCCGCACCGTTAAATAAGGAATTTAACTGATTAATTATGTTAAATTAAGAAATGATTCCATAATTGACCATAATAATTATTAAGAGGCTTTAATAATTATGATAAGTGATTAAGAATGCTGAAAGTCGCTTTTCGGAAGAAAAGTGCAGATACCAGTTTTGCTAGTCGATATAAATGCGTACCGAAAAAGTATCCCGGAAAATTATAAAAAGTGCATGATAATTACTAGAATAATATATAGGACTTGTAAAATGAGTTTCAAGTCCAAATAATGAGAACTGGTGCCAGAAACTAATACTGGCTATGAAAAGCGCGTACTGGAAAAGTGCTCCGAAAAATATAATAAAAATATGTCAATTCTTGTAAAATTGTGTAGGTTAAGAATCCAAAGTTTGAGATTAAAATGCTAAGCGTAGAAATTAAAGTTAATGCTGTGTGTTTTATTTTAAAGTGGCTATATATACTCTCATTTGCACAAAACCCTAGATAACTA